TTTTTTTTTGTGACGTACGGTGGCCTTTAATGATTAAGTTTAACTCAAGACTCCAATGTTAAGATAAAACAGCATTTAATTACAACCGGAAATAAATAGTTACCAAGAACAAAGAAGTAAAATCGAACAAAGATATTTAACCATTTCAGGGAATACCTTGTTAGTAGCGCGGCTCGACTTATTGTCCAGTAAATCCTAAATCAAAACCTAAATTATCGACGCACAATAATTCACACTAATTCGACTGGATAGTTCCATTTAATGATCACTCAATAATCACTGCAATCAGTAGCCTGACACCACAATTTATACACCTGGCGGGAAACGTATATTCCTAAGTACAGAATGTCACGCTCGAATCTCGATGTCGGTAATTACTCATTTTCTTCTTATATGACAAGTCGGTATCATTGTGGTCACGTGATTGAAGCTTGTGTTTGATAGCGCGAGATTTCTTGCTACAGTGTAAACATGGCCGCTCCGCTAGTTTCGATAAGGTCAAATTGACGGCTGATCTACAAAATGATATACAATCTGTTGCTAACTGGGGTAAAGAAGAAGTTAATTTTAACGACTTCAAAACAAAACTGCTCTCTATTGACGATCTGAAAGGCAACTTTTTGCCTTCCACCAGCATATGGCTGATGCTAACCTCCTTGTTACGTCTTGAAGTGGAAAGACTATAATGAATCCATTGCTGGGTCAGCTGCTAAGAAAGTTGGTTCACTGTGTCGTGATAAACAATTTACGTCCATGCTTAAAATATTGCTGCCACATATGACCCGATGCTCTTGCTATATATTTAGATATTCTTGATAAAAATCCAAAGAAGAATCTGCAATATTATCCGTCCTGATCTGGCATCTCGGCTTCAGTCACTTTACTACCGCCCTAAAGTTGCTTCCCTGTGCCTTTTCTGTAAATACTTTCAATGTAATTAAGGTCTTGGCTATGGTACCTAGACTTGAGTGCGATAATAGCGTTACTGCAGCTGTTTCCTGAGACCAGGCATCTCTCAATAATGTTTTCAGTTGCGCTCAGTCCGAAGACAGAAACCTAACTGAGAGACGATGGTTTGGTTTGGTTTGGTTTCGGCCGAAACGTTGTAATATATATGAGGACAATAGTCCGAATAATGTAAATAGTGTACATAATACCTCATCTCAGAAATATAGACAGATGCTGAAAGGCCGAAACGTTGTAATATATATGGCGACAAAGATGAGGACAATAGTCCGAATAATGTAAATAATGTACATAATACCTCATCTCAGAAATATAGACAGATATTTTGTCCCCAGATTGGGGGCTAACATAGTTGGGATCCTAACAGGTGCTACCACTCAGGGTCAGGGTTGACTTAGGAAGACTAGTAATTAAGAGGTGGTTCCACGCTCCTCAAAACTTCCTGATCAGGGACCTTGCTATTGGACGTAGTTTGTCGTCTTACCCAAGACGCCGGATGTAGTTTATCGTCTTACCCAGGACGCCTGAGAGACGAACTGTATTTTATCAACCCGAGGGCATATACTACCCTTTGATCCCAGGCAAAACGTAGATGAGAGATGTCCTAGATGAGGCAGGGGCGATATCACCCCTGAAATAATAATGATGAAAAAAGAAAATGGGATATACTGTAAAACAGAAAATACCAAGTGAAGAGAGGCGTTTTTGAATAACCAAGATGTCAAAAATGCTCTAAAGACATTGAAATGTAAATGTTACAGAAAGTTAATTTAGAACACGAAATACAATCTTTTTGTAAGTGTACAAAGGATATTAGATTACTTATAGAAAATTACTAGAACAATGATAATTTACAAACTTTTAGAAAAAGAAATGGATTTTGATACTATGAGAATCGAAATTAAAATAAATGATGTTTGATCTATAATTTATTTTTGAAATAAGACTCTTTGTAGTTTACAAAAAGCGGCAGAGTGGTTGATAGCGAGGTGATAACAATAGAGGCTTGTTGTGGACCTTGAAAACCAATCGATGAAAAGTAAATTGTTTACTCCCGGAAGAGTGAAAATGTACTTTGAAAGTGTGTCAGTATGTTCGCAGTAGAAAAAAAAGATACGTCACCAGTTCTCTATATAAAGAAGCGAGCCAACCGGAAGATGAGAGTGTTTCGGGTTCGTCTGTTTTCAAGTGCAGTTGAGCAGAGATTGAAAGGAAAGCGTCCGCTGTGTGTTGCTGAGCTGAGGGCGAGGAAGCGAAATACCGCCGCTAACATCTAAGTACCGCTACTCCTGATACTACAAATACTACTACTACTAGTATGACTCCTGCGAACGGGAGCATCGAAGGTTGTAGTAGTTGCGGTAAGAACAGACCAAAAAGGTGTACGAAGGCTCCTTACCGAAATTATTCAAAGTATTTGTGCTTGTTTGTTTGGTTATTGTTCACATACAAGAATTATTCAAACTTGGGTAACAAGAATTAGTTTGTTTGTGTGTTTGCTTAAGTACCGTGCATATAATATATAAATAATTATACATATATATATTTATTTATATTTATATTCACTTTTCACATATATATATATATATATATATATATATATATATATATATATATATATATATATATATACTTTTTGTATTTTCAAAATTGAATCGATTGGTTATTTATTTTTCTGTTAACCTGATTCTCTCGAACTCGCATGTGGGCCAACGGGGAGCTTCCGGGTTTCTACGATCGGATGATCACTCATCAGAATAAAAAAAAAATCACAACGTGACTGGAGGATAGGCTTCGAATTGACATTGAGAACCAGACACTTGTGTCTAACCTGTAATACTGGACCATACCGGACCAACGGCCAGTTTTGTGGAGTGCGTGGGTCTAGTGGGGTGAGAATACGGTCTTACATAGTCACGAAACAGCGAATATTGTTTTGCAACTTTAGTTTGGTTGGTTAACAAGTGACTGATGCTGCACATTCTTACAAATCATGAAATCAACCTCGATTTATAGGCAATGAAAGAAGAACGATTGATGTTTTAGAAAAGTGAATCGGACCCTGAGATCAAATCAGAGAAAACATCGTCTATGTCAGACGAATTCTTTCAAGGAACGCGGTACGAGTTCAATTCTTGTCAGGGTTATATTTGTTTCAAATGTACGGTCCATGCTGCTTAATTTAGAAAAAAAATACAATACCTAATAATCCTTTCATCATATATATATATATATATATATATATATATATATATATATATATATATATATATATAATATAAAAGGATCAAACACCAATATTCCATGGTTATAATTTATTACATTGAAATCGTAATCACGATCCAATCTCTGTCCTGGACATTGAGTTCTACCTGGATTCTATCCTCTTGGGAATATATATATATATATATATATATATATATATATATATATATATATATATATATAATGTGTGTGTGTGTGTGTGTGTGCGTGCGTGTGTTTATGTGTGTGTGTATACTGACTACTAATTTTGTCAATCTCTCTCTCCCTCTCTCTCTCTGTCTCTCTCTCTCTCTATATATATATATATTGTATATATTATAACTTCCGGCGCAGTAGATAAAGACAGACGTTGGTTAGATCCAATGACTAGACCCAATGTTCGATTCGAAATTACAATCACCTGAAGAAGGCCGGAGCGTACAACGACCGAAACGCTGTGAATATGGCAATGAAGATGAGGATAACAGTCCGAATAATGGAAATAATGCAAGTAATCCTAATACCTCATCTTAGAGATATAGACGGATACATATATATATATTTATACTGTTGATCCCACATTACAAGGGTCAAGGGAGAGGGGTATGGAATTATTTTTTTTTGTTTGTTTGGCCGGAGGGGGGAAATCAGTGAAGAAGAGAAAAGAAGAGATATTTAATACGAATTTGATTCCGCCTGTATTTCTTTCACGACTTAATGAAACGTATTAATCAAATGTTTAACGAGTTTGCAGCACTGACGATACCGCAAATATATTCAATGAACACACACACACACACACACACACACACACACACACACACACACACACACACACAACCCCCCGGCCCCCAAAAAACGCAATGTACCCAGAACGACATCCTAAGAAAGAAAAGCAAGCACAGCAAAGTTGAGAAGAAACGAGTCACTGAGGACACACAGTACACAGAAGTACACACACAAAACCGGAGAAGCGATCAATATCAAATCGGCAAAAAATATTTTGCCAGCCAATCAAAGCAGTGTGCAAAGTTTAAAAAGAGACGCTCAGAAATGAAACCAGACGAAAAGTGATTAAACCCGTCAACACGTCTAACATTTAAAAAAAAAAAAAATCTTCCTAACCCCTTTTGACCACTTCTCTCACCGGCACACAGGCGACAACGTACACGTTTGAGTACATGCGTGTATATATGCCAGTGCACGTATTAACACTTACAGAACTGAGCACGGAATAGATACATTTTTTTTTGTCCACCTCTGATTGTGCAAGAGATCGACACTGAATAGAATGAGAGATTTTCGCTTCTTTTTGCAAACACATCGAACACGACTTTCCTCTCAGTGACGGCCATTTTTTAAGTTCTCTCTTGGTTTTTTTTCAGCTTTTTTTTTTAGTATTTGAAATTACTTTCAGCTTCTTCAAGGGAGAGAGAGAAACAAAGAAAAAAAATGAAAGGGAATAGATTTGATTTATTTTTTTAGTTTAATTTATTCTCCATTTTTTAAATTTTTTTTTACAAAAATATTTTCGTGCAAACAATAGTTTGGAGTCTAGCAGGGGTATTCAGAAAGGTTTTGTGATGGTTTATTTAGTATTTTTAACATTTTTTTTCCAAAGTGGATGGTTGAAAGAAAAAGAATAAATTTTGGAAAGTGGATGAAAAAAAAAAAAAAAAAAAAAAAAAAAAAATAAATAGAAAACGAAACCGGAAGTGATTGAATAAAATTGGCGGATGGGAAAGATAATGAAAAAAAAAATTTAAAAGTTAGAGGTAAGGAAAAGGAGATTAAATTATTTTAAAGGAGAAGAAAAAAATAAAAGAAATAATAGGATGAAGAAGTAAGGAGAAAAAACGTGAAAAGATGAGGAGGGGAAACGAGAAGTCAATGGCAAAATAAATAAATAAACAAACAAATAAAAAGAGAGAATGGGGGGGGGAAGAAAAATAGTGAATAAGAATAAAGAAGAAATTAACGAAGTAAAACATAAAGATGAGGAGGAGAGGAGAAGGAAAAAGCAAATTGAGGAAGAATATTAAAAGGAAAAAAGGTAAAAGAAAAAGAACAAGAAGAAAAAGCAGAAAAGAAGAATGAAGCTGAAAGAAATCTGAAATAAAGAATTGAAAAAAAAAACGAGAAAGAAAGACGAAATGAAAAAGGAGAGAAGAATTAAAAGAAGAGGAAGGAAAAGTAAAAGGTATAATGAAAGAAAAAAAAAAAAGGAGGAGGAGAAGAAACAGATGAATGAAGGTGAGAGAAATCTGAAATAATTTTAAAAACGAAAAAGAAAGACGAAATGAAAAAGAAGGGAAGAATGTAAAAAAAAGGAGGAAGGTAAAGGAAAAAGTATAATGGAAGAAGGAGAAAAAAAGAAGAAGGAAAAGTCTATAGGAAAGAAGAAGACATAATCATTTGAAGAAGATAAGTAATCAAAAAGGCAAAGAGCAATGTAAGGATAATTAACATCCTCATTATCGCAATAAGTTCCTTTGTCTAAGTTATAATGATTGCAAGTGAGCATCTCAAGGCAATGTACTGGTTAGCAAGCTTGTCTCGCTATAACAACTTACAACTGAGTAATGTGTTCGATTATCGCTGGGTGACCCCTACATCTGATCTACGCTTCGAAAATCAGTATAACAATAAAATTGCGGCCTGTCAGTTTGCTGCGATCAGAATATAAGCCCAGATTTTAAATACTGATTTTCAAGGAAGGCAAGGCCATATCCACTACACACTTTTTTTATCCTCATATAACCTTGTTTTTTGGGCCAACCTTTGTATTTCGAAGAACCGTTTAAAATTGAAGATTTTTTGGTTTTTTATTAAGAAGGATTAGAGGGATTTTCGCTTCCTGAAAGATTTTAATATATATTCAGTGATAATAATATTAATAATAATAACAACAATAATAAATAAAGATTTTAACATAAATTCAATAATGATAATAATAATGACGATAATAAATAAATAAATAAAGTTTTCACCCTGATTGACATGAGCTTACCAAGTGAAAAAAAAATCTATCAGAAAGGTTTTTGAAAAACAAAGTAAAAACATGTGTCACTTAAAACTTGAAACTGTTCATGTCGTCGTTGGAGCTTTGGGTTTGATAAAGAAAGCTGGCTATAATGAAAAAAAAAACCTGGCGTACCAGAGGAACCCAATAATCACAGCTCATATCCTATGAAGAGCTTTCTCCGTTTAAATATGTTTTTAGTTAAGTGTAAATAAAAAAAAAAAAAAAAACAAAAAAAAAACACAGATCCTTCGCTTGCCTTTGGTCATTGGTTATGACCTGGCATAGAATTGTAAATAATTGATTAAATAGTTTCAACATCCTAGCTTAATAGAAGTTAAATAAACCCCAACTGACTGCTTATTAAATCCAGAGAGTGGTTCCTAAAATCTAACTCATTTGGCTGTGGTGCATGTGCCTGGTATACTATCAGAACTAATTTACTAGCTCACTTATCAGAACTAATTTACTAGCTCACTTCGGGCGAGAAGGACATTCTCTTCCTGAGGGTTTTATCAGATATTCAATAATAATAATAATGGCATGACAGTGTGGGCCAATATGTTCACTAGAAAATCTACAACTTCTACGAAAAGGAAACTGAAAGAAATTGGTATGAACACCCCTCAGATCCGCTTAAGGAGATAGGACCTGTAACAAGTTTATGGGACTACACAACACACAGAGACAGAATAATTAAAGCTAACCGCCCAGACATCGTTTTAGAGACCGCCAACAAAAAATTGTCTCCTTATTGACATGGCCTTCATATAGCAAAATATCGTTGAAGATCTTCAAAGTGCTATCGAAATACAAGGACCTTGAAATAGAAATCTAAAAAATGTGGCACATGGGAACATCAACAATCTCTGTTGTAGTTGGAGCCCTTCGCTTGCCTTTGGTCATTGGTTATGACCCGGCATAGAATTGTAAATAATTGCTTAAATAATTTCAACATCCTAGCTTAATAGAAGTTAAATAAACCCCGTGTGACTGGTATACACTTATCAGAACTAGTTTGCTAGCTCATTTCGGGCTAGAGGGACATTCTCTTCCTGAAGGTTTTTATCAGATATTTAATAATAATAATAATAATAATAATGATTTCTTATTGACATGGCAGTCCCTGCAAGTTGTAATGTATGGTTAAAATCTTTAAAAAAAAGACTATCAACAAGTGTAAATCTAATAATTGTGGCACATGAGGACATCAATAATTCCAGTTATCGTTGGAGCCCTCGGACTGATTGGAAATGGTTCCGATTGATTGGAAAATGTTTTTTTATTGAAGAGATTTCTGGCATCCCTTGACTTAAAGAAATACAAAGAATTAGAATCACAAGTACAGCTCACACATTACGAATAGCTTTATTTATGTAAAATGATTGAGACGAGTAGAAAATTTCATGAAGCCATTTCTGACCTTAGATCTCTGGTCGGGAGCCAGAAGAAAATGTGTATACAACAGAAATCCAAGGAATTAATAATAATAATAACAATGGCAAATGGGAACATCAACAATCCCTGTTGTAGATAGAACCCTAGGATTGGTTGGAAAAGATTCCAGTAGACTAATTGAAGGGATTCCTGGAAGCCCAGGCCTAAAAAAAATACAAAAAATTGTTCTCACAATTACAGCCCACACTTTACAAAGGGCTTTATCGATGTAATTTTTTTTGTAAGTGGAAACTGTCATGATGCCATTTCTAACGTTAGGTCTCTTGGGGGGACCCGGAAAGAAAATAATAATAATAATAATAACAACTCACCGATGTTTACGAGCACCCAGATTAGAAGCTGAAGCGGAAGGCATTATTCTTGCAGTGCAGAACCAGAGCCTTTTCACAAGGAACTTTCAGGCAAATATCATATATAATAGTGTGGTTCCAAAATGCAGGTTCTGTGACAAATATCAGGAAACCATTGACCATCTAATCTCAGGATCTTCTTTACTTGCGCCAAATGAATAGAAAAAAATCATCATGATAGAGTGGGGCAATACTCACACTGGACAATGTGTAAACGCTTGGGAAAAGATGTCAATAAACACTGATATGAATATCACCCAGCACCGTTTACAGAAATAGAAGGCATCACAATTCTATGGGATTGCACCATCTTTACAGACAGGAAGATTGAAGCAAATAGGCCGGATATAATTGTCAAAAACCGAAAAAGAAAGAAAGAAAAGAAAAAAACTTGCCTACTAATTGATACGACTTGGCCAGCAGAGTGTAACATAGCAAACAAGGAATTTGAAAAACTATCGAAGTACAAAGACCTGGAAATTGAAGTAGAAAAAAATGTGGAATCATGAATAGTACCAATCATGGGAGGTGCGCTTGGAATGATAAAAAAAGAACAAAACCACACATTGAAAAAATCCCAGCTTAAGAGAAATGCAAAAAATGTCTTAAAAAGTACAGCCCACACACTAAGAAGAACTTTGTCCATATAACGCTAGTGATGTTATGGGAGTTAGAAAAACAAATCATGAAATGTAGCCATAAAAACACACCCTTACCTGCCTTATGCTTTTTCCCAGACATAGCAGAAATCGAAATAATAATAATAATAATAATAATAATAATACCTGTAACAATTTTATCGGACTACACAATACACAGAGACATAACAATCAAAGTTAACCGCCCATACATCGTTATTAGACACCACAAACAAAAAGAAATGCCTCCTTATTGATATGGAAGTCCCTGCAGACTGCAATGTATCTTTGAAGATCTTCAAACATCTATTAAAATACAATGACCTTGAAATCGAAACCTGAAAAATGTGGCACATGGTAACATCAACAATCCCTGTTGTAGTTGGAGCCCTCGTATTGGTTGCAAAAAATTCCAGTAGACACATTGAAAGGATTCCTGGAAATCCATACCTTAAAGAAATACAAAAAAATGTTCTCACGAGTACAGCCCACACCTTACGACGGGCTTTACCAATGTAAGATATGCGTGTGTGTGTTTTTGGGTCAGTGGAAAATGTCATGATGTCATTTCTAACCTTAAGTCTCTGAGCGGGACCCGGAAAGAAATGAGTAGACACCAGAAATCAAAGGAAATTAAATAATTATAATAATAATTTAAAAAAAAAAATTTAAACTCTTTTGGCCTAATCTATCGTGCTGGCTAATGGTAATCTTAGAGGTGGTGGAATTGAAATTGTATTTATTTATTTTATCTAATTATTAAATCTCGAGAGCTCCCGAAAACGCTTAGCCTATAGTGTTATAAATATAATATAATATAATATAATAAAAATCCCATAAGCTTCTCTCGATAGAAAACTAAAAAACTTTAATATTTTGGAATATGATTGTTTAACCATTATTACATACAGTCCGATTTTTGGGGTTCATTACTAAAAGAAACCTATGACAAATACCAAGAATCTACGAGATTTATCACGATGTCTTATAGAATATTAGTAACGAGGAACCTCAAGTCTGATGAAGTACTATTTATATGGATATAGAAACGTCACGGCACCATAACGATTCTGTTGCTTCTCTGGCTTCATTTATTCAGACATGGACGCTGTATCATAGACTATATCAACTACGGATAAATTTCTTCCTTTTTTTCCCTTCTCCTGCTCTTTTTTTTTATGAAGGACAATAGTTGTAGCATCGTTTCTCGAAATTGTGAGTACGCATGTCAACCGTTTGACCAATGTCTGATCGCTATTTGTTGGCTTGCCTCACGATGGAATCGGAATCTTGCGACCGTTTGGATGCCTTTGCGCATTGCTAGTCGTATCAAAACTTAAAAACAAAGGCAATCTCTCATTGTCAGAATTCCATGCTCACGGTGTTCAAACACTCAGTTCGGGTCATCAGAGTCCTGACCAGTAGATTGCCATTCTGGGCCAGCTGACGCATTCTGTAAGAAAAGAATGTAACAGAATCTGGTTTCTATTTGCAAAAATTCAAACTATATAAATTATTAGGTTGGTGCAAAAATAATGACGTAATAATGTCGTTTTTAACTTATTTTTTAAACTCAAAAAACGACATTATTACGTCATTATTTTCGCACCAACCTAATATCTTGAAAGACAGTAAATTTCACTCTATTGGAATTGTTGTAACAGACGACGGAATATGCGATGTCTTCCAAAAGCTAAAGAAAGGAATAAGAGACAGAAACAAATTCTTTTATATCCTTCTCGTTTTGGGGAGCTCTTGGTCATCACGCCAATTAATACAAGGTTGTAATCTCTCTCTTCTCTTCTCTTTCTCATCTTCTGGCCGGGTAGCGAAATGTTTTGGGGGTCCAGAGATAAAAGATATCAATAAAGGGAATTTTAACGTAGCTATTTTCTTAACGGCGACGTATGCATCTTCTACCTATCCAGTAGTTTGCTCACCCTCCATTGGGGAGCCGTTTCAGACACGAAAGAAAAAACGTCTCCATTGTTTGATGGTTAAGAAACAACTCACCGAAACCACTTTCTCTATCTATCGTCCTCACGCTGGCACAGCCAATCAAAATCGACTTCCTTGTTTTGTCTTCCATCTGACCTCAAAGGTCAACCCAAGGAATTCCGAGCAACGATACACTTCCCCCTAAAAATAATAGTCTGCTGAACTATTATTTTACAAAAGATTGCTGAAATTCTGCGTAATATTTATCCTCCTATATGCCAGTGAATCTTGGATAATTTCCTGAGATGAAGAGGACACTTGAGGTAACAGAAATATCGCTCTACAGAAAGATGCTGGGAATATCATGGACGGAAGATGTGAACAGTTTTAAGGAAAATAGGAACAAAAATAATACTGTTACTTATAATCAGAAAGAAATCAGAAGAAATCTCTGGGGCACATAAGGAAGAAAGAGGTTTGGAGAATTTGACACTCAAAGGACATAATGGAAGTAAGTAGAGCAGAGGGAACCATCGGGTAATCTATCCAGCAAATTTCTCTAAATGGATGGCAGAACAGGGAATAGAAGGATAGTAAACGGAGAAAAGTTATTTATAAGTTCCATGATTTCACAAATCCCTACCTCAGTAGATTGCCAAAACTCTAAACCAGCTGATCTTGTCATGTTTACCCAGTAAATAATGTGTTAGCTTCATCAACGAATTTCTCGAAATCCATTCATATGTGATGTTTGTCTTCCCGTTATCGAGCTAGGCCATCACACAACATCCTGAAATGATTCACCTGTGCCACGCACGGACTCGACTTTTAAACCCGACCAATGATTTGCGTTGTCTTTTCAGAGAGTCGGCAGCCATGACCAGTGACAACATTAGGTACGTTTTCCGGTATTTGATAGTCACAGAACATCTATTACCAGTGGCTGCACATCCTTGTGCAAATTAATTGAAACAAACGCTTTAGTTTTCTTTCTTTCACCATACGGTCAGTTTTAAACCCACTCAATTGTCAGGGTGTAACCGATTAGTATTTTTTCCTCGGATTAGATCATTTTCAGTGGTGTACAATAATATGAATCTATTTTTGGGGTGTGTGATGAAATTTGTTTGGCCTTGAAAAATATTGTGTCATCCGTGATTGCATCATATTTTTATCACACCCAGACACTCTTGTTCTGACTCTCGATTAGTTGTCCTACGGCCATTGACTGCGATCCACGTTACTTCAAGAAAGAGAGAAAAACTGGATCAAGAGGTTACAACAGGAAGAGGGATCATCATTTAAACTTAGAGCTAAAGAGATCAATTAGAAAAAGATCCAACTGATGTAAGTGAGGAGTTTCAGCTATGACAGACCAAATAGCAATGTAAAAAGACTAAAAAAATAAAATCGTACGTGAAACATATGAGGCACCTTATTACTACAGGACTGAAAGTTAGAAGGTTAGCGAGTGCGAAGATCATCTGCAATAAATTGGAAAATGATCCCAGAATAATATATATATATATATATATATATATCCGAAAAGAGAAAAAAGAAGGAAAAGGAATGGAGAAAGAGAGGGAGCATAATAAGAGAAGTAAATGATGAAAGGAGAAATAACCTCGACATTTCTATATATGCGCGCGCGCACACACACACACACACACACTCATATATATATATATATATATATATATATATATATATATATATATATATACATGTATATATTCCGGAGATATGCCAAAAAAGGCATGGCACAGGGAACTAGGACAATCTAATTCTGTACTAAATAAAGGATTCGGTTCAAAATTCCAATATATATCATCTGAAGAAGGCCGGAGTGTACAATGGTCGAAATGTTGCGAATATGGCAATAAAGATAAGGGCAACATTTCGAACAATGTAAATAGTTACAATACCTTCTCTCTCTCTCTCTCTCTCTTTCTCAAGACGGAAGGATCTCTTTGGTAACAAAGAAAACAGTACTGAGCTGCTACGTGACATCTATCCTCCTTTACGGCAGCGAATGTTCGACGGTCTCCTCAATGATGAAAGTGAAACTCGAGGCAACGGAGATGTGGTTCTACAGAAGCATGCTGAGGATATCATGGATCGAGCGTGTGAACAACAATGAGGTTTTAGAGAGGATGCCAACAAGGAGGAAGCTTATATTTAACATCAGGAAGAGGCAGATGAAATTTCTGGGATACGTAATGAGAAAGTAGGGCTTGGAGAATCTGATACTCACAGGGTGAATAGAGGGAAAGAGAGACAAGGGAAAGCAACGCGTGACATTAAGGCCCCATTAATATTTAATGTATCCTCTAGCATTTAAAAAAAATCAGTCAGTTATGTACGTGATACACGCTTAGAGGATCATGTCTCTTCACGATTCATGATTGACATTCATATGATTCTACTGGATATAAAGTGGGGGATCGGTTTCATATTGTCATTTAGTACTAAACTGATCCCCCTAAAATTCAGCCAATTATATGCCATGCGTGATACACGCTTGGACGATCATGTTCCTTCTGGATTCGTGATTAACATTCATATTATTCTACTGGACATAAAGTAAGGGATCGGTTTCCTACTGTTGTTCAGTACTAAACTGATCCCCCTAAAATTCAGCCAGTTATATGCCATGCGTTATACACGCTTAGGCAATCATGTCTCTTCCCAATTCATTGACATTCATATAAGATTCTACTGGGCATAAAGTGAGGGATCGGTTTCCTATTGTAATTTAGTACTAAAATGATCCCCCTAAAATTCAGTCATTTACGTACCAAGCGTGATACACACATAGGCGATCATGTATCTTTCGATACATGACTGACGAGGCAGATTTTTCTGCGGTAGACCAGTTGCCATCCAAGTTTATAGAACCCGATCTGTCCTGGGGTAGTGGATTCATTATTAGAACGTAAGTGAATGTAATCGATTCGACTGGAATTCGAACTCGGCTCTCCGATTCCTCAATCCGAGCCGCTATCTATTACTCCGCCGTGCCTTCTTAAAAAAAATGCCATACTTAAATGGAGTGGAGCTATATGCTGTGTGTTTTATGCAACATCAAAATCCAGGTGGTCTTCTCTTTCCTTCCGTCTGCCTTCACTTGTCCTCGTGTTTCTATCAACCTCAAAAGTTATTATAATTGTTAGGGTCAAATATCAGTTGTTTCTGTTTGGTTTTATGTTGTCACCTTTGAACTCGCCTAATATTCCGATCAGAAATATGAATCCTCTGATCTTTGAGTGACGATTCTGTTTTCTTTTGGTGTGTGTGTGTGTGTCTGTGTGTGTATGGGGGGTGTATTTTCTTGAGATTATTATTGTCCTTCGATTTTTTTCCTTGTTGATCGAAAAGAAAAAGAAACGAAAAGATAAAAAGGAAAAAAGAATGAGAAACAGTAAATAAAACGGATATTAAAAAAGAAATTTGAAGCAAAATTGTGAGATGGTGTTGGGGGTGGGGAAAGAAAAGACGCTGTCTCCTTAGAAAGAAAGAAAGAAAGAAAGGAAGAAAGAAAGAAAGAAAGAAAGGGATGTAAATAGAATAGAAATTAAGGCAAAGAAAGAAAGAAAGAAAAAAGAAAGAAAGAAAGTAAGAAAGAAAGAAAGAAAAAGAAAGAAAGATTTGGTTTGTTTTACAGCATATCAACCTTAATGGGTTATTTAATGCTGACAAGATTATATTTGCTGATAATATTTTTCCAAAAATGTATTGCTGCTAATATTTTTTCCAAAAAAGTATTGCTGGTAATAATTTTTACAAAAATGTTTTGCTTGTACTAAAACATATTTTTACACGTTTTATCCCCGGGTTGGGGATTAACTATTTGCCCATACCTGTGACCCTAACAGGTGCTACCACCCTGAGTGGACCTGGAAACACCAGCAATTTAAGAGGTGGTCCCACGCTCCTCAAAACCTCCTGATCAGAGGCGTTGCTGTCGGATGTAGTTTATCGTCTTAGCCAGGACAGAAGAAAGAAAGAAAAGAAAGAAAGAAAGAAAGAAAGAAAGAAAGAAAAAAAGAAAAAAAGAAAGAAGGTTGAAAAGGACAAAACTAGAAATAAAAATGTAAGATAGTAAAAAGGAAAAAAAAATATGTGAGACCTTAGAAAAGAGGAGAAAGAAAGAAAAGATGTAAAAATGACTGACATGCACTAAATACACGAAAGAAAAAGTGAAAGAAAAATACAAAGAGAAATAAATAAAAAACTAAAGAGCCAAAAACAAAGAAGAAAAGAAATAGAAAGAAAAAAAGAATATAAGCGAATAAAAGAAGAGGCATCATAAGAAATGAATAACAGTAAATACAATAAAAAGAGACAGACTGAAAATTAGAAGAGAAAGAAAGAAAAAGGAAGAAAAAGAAAGAAAGAAATAACAAAGAAGAAAAGAAAAAATAGCGATAAAACGATCAATAAAGAGAAAGCAAGAAGAAAAAGAAAAAAAAGAAAAGAAAAAAATGAAAGTAAAAATCAACAGAAATAAAGAAGAAAAAAAGACAAGGTTAGAAAGAAAGAAATGTAGAAGACCAAAAAAAAAAAAAAAAAAAAAACAGAGCCCCCAATAATAGATAAATTGAAAACTAGAATCAGTGGTCGATATTGGATAAACTGGAAAAAGAAAACCGGTAATTTGGAGGGCGGTTTTCATGAAAGGCAGGTAAGCCCCCCCCTAAAAGAATGACGCAACCAAATCTTTCTTTTCACTGCTGCCTCTGTTCTAATTAAGCATATGTAGACAAGCGAGTCTGTAAATGGATAAATGTCAAGAAAAAGAAAAGTGAAGGGAAATAAAGAAAAGAAATCAGTAAAAACACAAAAAAAAATACGGCATAATCCCCCGCCACCCTCCCAAAAAACACACACACAAACAAAAAAAAATTAGAATAGAAAAAATTTATTATAATTGGCGGAAAATATCATTAAAAAGGAATTCCAATTCTTTAATTGAAACGAAAGATCATATATATATATATATATATATATATATATATATATAAAAAGTGACCATAGAAGTCAACACTTAGAAGCGACAGTGTTTCATGCTAGACGCAATCGTCAGGCCACGATTCTAACAGTGAAACAGACTATTGCCTCTAAGCGTTGACTTCTATGTTCACTTTTATATTTACACACGCTCTATCTCTGATATTGAGCACTTTATCCAATAAATATAGCACACCTTAAGACTATATTTCTTCATATATATATATATATATATATATATATATATAAAACAAACCTTAATTTAGTCCGGCTCCTCGCAACCACTTCCGGAATACTATCCCAAAATACCAGGCTCACAAAAACAAATTTTCTGACCAATCAGAAAATGGCCTGCGCGGTTTTAATAACAGCCGTTTCTGAGCCACCTGAATCACTATAAAGTCAACGCTAAATTTACCCATGAAAGCAGATCCGACTCGGCTGATGTTAGCGATGGACCCCACGGCAAGGAAGCTTAACCAGACCACAAGCAGCAACAACAAGGCGCTTCTATCAACAAAGTTACCGTCGACCAACGACAATGCGAAAATTCCATTTGCTTTTTTTGTCACTTACACTTTTTTTTTTCCTTAGAAGGGAAAGAAAAACTCGAGCAGCAGAATCAATCACACAAACAAATGGAGTTAAAATATAATTGAGTTTTTTTTTTTTATTTCCCGTGATTTATAAGCTTCTATTATTTGCTCGTTACAAGCTATCGCATATCCATCGTAAGAGATTGAGAGTTCAGTCGGGAGTGTAACACAAACTAGCAGTCGAGATAAACACACACACACACACACACACACACACACACACACACACACACACACACACACACACACACACACACACTTTTTGCGGTTTATTTGAAACGAGAAACTATTTTAAGATTGTCAGAATTTTGGGGGAGATAATAATGATTTAGTGATACAAGTCTTACTAATTAACCCATAGCTGGGGAGAGAAGAGATGAATTCATACCTTTCACAAGGGTATTTGTGTATAAATGAATATAGCGAACCCAACAAAAATTGGAACTCGGCTCTTCAATTTCCAATTCCGTGCCATTATCCATTGCACCACCCGCACATCAAGCTGACAGCACCTGGTATTCCCAAGCGGTCACCCATTTGGGTACTGACCAGGCTCAACGTTGCTTAATTTCGGTGATCCTACGGCAACCGACGTTTGAACACTATATGGCCGTGAGCCAAGATAGATAGATAGATAAATAGATCGATAGATGTGTGTGTGTGTGTGTGTGTGTGTATAAGTTTGTTTTTTTTTCAGTAGTGAAGAGGCTGTAAATGGAAAAGCCCAAATAGAGTACAAATGAAACTGATATTATAATTGCTAACAAAACCAATAGGCGATCACGTATCTTTCGAGACATGACTGACCAGGCAGATTTTTTCCCGCAGTAGGTTGCCATTTCTTTCTGCAGTAGACCAATTGCCATCCAAGGCTATAGAACCCATAGCTGGGGTAGAAGAAGAGGATTCATAACTTTCCCAAGGGTATTAGCACGTAAGTGAATGTAATGGATTCGACTCGAATTCGAACTCGGCTCTCCGATTCCACAGCTCGAGATGATATCTATTACTCCAGCGTACAATTAGCAGATAGACATAGATCCAGTTTATATGAGAGTCTAAAAGTGAAACAAAAATTCTGTTTGATTAAATGAAACTTTTGTCTACGTTTTAGACTCTCATATAAACCGGATCTATGTCAGAGTAAAAAAGATAAGCATAGATCTGGTCGACATAGAATAAAAAGCAAGACATAGTTCCGGTTTGCATTTGAATAAAATAAAAGTAGACAGAGGTCCGGTTTACACGTGTTAAAAAGGTAGATATATACGAGGTTTATACTTGAGTCAATATATACGAGGTTTATACTTGAGTCAATAAGGTACACATAAGTAAGGTTGTGTATTAGTGTGAAAAAGGTCACATAAGATTAACTAAGGTTATGTACTGTAAAATTTTTAAATTTTATCATATAGACTCACGGAAAAAGCAACCAAAGTAGAACAGCGATGTCCACTACCTTACGAGTTTTCTTTCTCGCGTTGACAAGATCTGTTTTTTTTTTTGTTGAGATTGGGCGATATGTTTCGACGCAATGAGTTTACGTTATTTATTCAGTCCTGCAAATTCTACTTCATGGATATCACTGTTGATTTCTAAGAGGGGGCGCTAAAAATTCTGGCCCCAAAATCTTTAAAAAAAAAAAAATGAGGAAAGAAAATTTTTTTTTATACGTACTCACATAGTCAAATCTCACACATTTTTTGCACAGTTCTCATCGTTCATCCATTCATCTATGTGTCGTGTTTTTTTTTTCAGGACAATCCACAATTCCTGTCTTTTATAGCTCTTAATAACTTTTGTCTTTTTGCGAACTCTCCCCAAACCTGCTCCACCATTCGATCATACTCGCCAGTTAGAATCTCAGTTGCTTTCCTCTGGCCGTTTTCCCTTCAATCTGTCCTGTGAGTATCAAATTTTCCAAACCCTCTTTCCGTATTATGTGCCCTAGAAATTTCAACTGTCTCTTCCTAATGTTAAGCAGTGTGAAAAAGTGGACATAAGACGGTTTATGCTAGAGTAAAAAAAAATGTATATATATAATTCCTTTTTCCACTAAAATCAAAAGGCAGACATTGGTTCAATTTAAACAAGAGTAAAAAAGGAAGAAAGAAAAAGATGGAAAGAAAGATAGAATGATAGAAAGAATGGAAAAAGTAAAGAGAGGGAAAAGGTAATGAAAAGAGGAGGGAAAAAAGTGAGAGAAAAAAAAGACAGAAAATAGAAAAAGATAGAAAAAATGAAAAAGTAAAGAGAAAGAAAAAGGAACAGAAAGAGGGTGGAAAGAAAGAAAAAAGGGATATAGATAGAAAAAGAAAGAAAGGAAGAATGGAAAAATTAAGAAGAAAAGAATAAAGAAATACAAATAAAAAAAGGAAGGAAGGAAGGAAGGAAGACATAATGGAAAAATTAAAGAGAAGAAGAAAGAAAAGAAGATAAGAATTAAATATAGCGAGAAAAAAAGTGTTAGGTGGAAAGAAAGAAAGAAAGAAAGAAAGAAAGAAAGAAAGAAAGAAAGAATGATAGAATGGAAAATTAAAGAGAAAGAAAAGTATACAAGCGGAGGGAAAGATATTGAAAAAGAAAAAATGGCATAAAAATAGAAATAGAAAGAAAGAATGAAAGAAAAAAGAGTAGTAATGGAAAATTAAAAGAAGGAAAAAGAAAAGAGGAAAGAAAGAAAGAAAGAAAGAAAGAAAGAAAGAAAGAAAGAAAGAAAGAAAGAAAAAAGATAAGGATAGAAAAAGCAAGAAAGAAAGGGAAAAATGGGAGAATGGAAAAAAGAGGAAAAGTTGAAGGGAAGATAGCGAGAAAGAAAAGAGAGATAAAGATAGAAAAAGAAAGAAAGGAAGAATGAAAAAATAAAGTGAAGGAAAAAGAAGGAAGAGGACGTGAATATAAAAAGAAAGAAAAGGAGATAAAAATAGGAAAAGGAAAGAAATGAAACAGTAAAGAAAGAAAGAAAGAAAAAAGAGAGAAAGAAAGAATGAAAGAAAGAAAATAAAAAGAGAATGAAAAAGAAAAGAAAAAGGGAAGGAAAGAAAGATAGCGAGAAGGAAAAAGAGATAAAAATGGAAAAAGAAAGAAAGGAAGAAAGAATGGAAAAATAAAGTGAACGAAAAAGAAAAGAAAAGAGGACGTGAATATAGAGAGAAAGGCAAAGAAGATAAAGATAGGAAAAGAAAGAAATGAAGCAATGAATAAAGAAAGAAAGAAATAGAGAAAGAAAGAACGGAAAAAGAGAATGAAAAAGAGATGAAGAGAGGAAAGAAAGAAAAATAGATAGAAGAAAAAGATAGAAAAAGAAAGAAAGAAAAAATGGCAAAAGATAACGAAAAAGAAACGAAAAAGGGAAAGAAAGAAAGATATCGAGAAAGAAAATAGAGGTAAAGATAGAAAAAGAAAGAAAGAAATAATGGAAAAAGAGAATGAAAAAGAAACGAAAAGAGGAAATAAAGATAGAAAGAAAAAGAGATAGAGACAGAAAAAGAAAGAAAGAAACAATGGAAAAGAGAATGAAAAAGGAACGTAAAAAAGGAAATAAAGAAAGACAGAAGGAAAAAGATATAAAGATAGAAAAAGAAAGAAAGAAAGAAAGATAGAAAAAGAGAATGAAAAAGGAACGAAAAGGGAAATAAAGAAAGATAGAAGGAAAAAGAGATAAAGACGGAAAGAGAAAAAAAGAAAGAATGGAAAAAGAGAATGAAAAAAGAAAACAGGAAATAAAGAAAGATAGCGAGAAGGAAAAAAAAAGAGATAAAGATAGAAAAAGAAAAAAAGAAAGATAGAAAAAGAGAATGAAAAAGGAACGAAAAAGGAAATAAAGAAAGTTAGAAGGAAAAAGAGATAAAGATAGGAAAAGAAAGAAAGAAAGAAATGAAAAATGAAAGAAGAAAGAAAGGAAGAAAGATAGAAATAGCATGTAAACCAACGAAGAAGAAAAGCCTGAATGTAAAAAGCAAAGAAAATAAATGTGATTTCTTATTTAAACATTATTCCATTATAATTTATTTTGGTCAGCAATTTCGCATTGAAATGTTTTCAAAATGTTTTTTTTTTTATTTTCTTGCGTCTGGTTTCTTTTTTGACTTTGAAGAGAAACCAGAAAACTAAAAAGTGTGGACACGAGAAAAAAAAAATGGTGTTTAATGTTCTTTTGAACTGTGAAAGGAACATAAGAAGGGCATAAAGGAATAATTATTTTCAGTGCACTGCGAAGAGGGCGGTAATATATCATTCACGCATGCGCACACACATGGCTATTAAAGTATTGGCACCGATCAGTGATGTTCGATTTCTGCTTCACAAACATTGGGCAAGAAGTTTTGCATTAATGTATTCAGAGGCAAGAATCAGTCACAGGTTGATTACGTCTTCCTTTTCTTGTTTAAGTCGCTGAGGGGAAGGATGGAAGGAAGGAAAAAAAGGAAGGAAGGAGAGAGCTAATGTGTCGGGAGAAAGAGAGGAGTAAAAGAGAAAAAGTGGCGGAAGTAGGAGACGGGGATGCATGGAAGGTGAAAGAGAAAAGATGCAGGGACATATGCAAATAAACATGCGCACACATGTAGAGAGAGAGAGAGAGAGAGAGAGAGAGAGAGAGAGAGAGAGAGAGAGAAACAAAAAGAGAGATAGAGAGAGAGAGAGAGAGAGAGAGAGAGAGAAAGAAAGCGACAAAGACTGGGTGAGAGAGAAACAAAAAGAGAGAGATAGAGAGAAAGAGAGAGAGACAGAGGGAGGAAAGATGCACACAGGCTAAGTTTAAGAGGGAGAAACTGAAAGTAGACGGTAGAGAAAAAGAAGAAAGAGAGAGAGAGAGAGAGAGAGAGAGAGAGAGAGAGAGAGAGAAGAAAGAAAGAGGGTGTACGCACACACACACACACCTATATATATATATATATTGTTTGAATTGGTGTGAGTTTGTGACCCTGGGTTTCACGCTATTTGCAATCGTCAGACAAACTTTTTCCAATAAGTACATATATATATATATAAATGATATATATATATAATATATATATATATATATATATATATATATATATATATATATATATATATATATGTCTTATTAAATAATTTATACTTGTTTTGTCTACTTATTTTTAATAGGATCTTCTCCTAATTACGGACAGGTTTCTTAGTATCTTTATTAAAGGAAGAAAGAAAATTACCATGTTGATGCCTTTTCATTTTATTCCGTGTACTTCGGCATTAGCAGAATGTCATCATCAGGGTGTTTTTCTAAGGCAAAAAATTGTAGTGTTCATCTGAAAATTAATTTTTTACGAGTGAAGTGAAAAACACTCAGGTTATGTACGATACAATTTTAAAATTTTATTATGTAGACACACGGAAAGCAAAAACAAAACAAAAAAAAAATACAACCCCCCCCAAAAAAAAACAGCCAAAGCGATATGTTTCAATTTCAAAGTGACGGAGTAATTTCATGTTATTTATTTAGTCCTGAAAATTCTACTTCATGCATATCACTGTTGATTTCTACGAGGGGGTGCTGAAAATCCTCGGCCCAAAATCTTAAAAAAAATATGTGCAAAGAAAACTTTTTACATAGTCACATCTTACACTTTTTGTTGCACAGTTCTCCGTCGTTCATCTATTCTTCTTCAATGTGCCGTGCCCCTTCAGGACGTTAACGATGATGGCTCTCCACAAATTCCTGTCTTTTATAGCTCTTAATAACTTTTGTCTTTTTTGCCATCTCTCCCAAACCCTGCTCCGCCATTCGATCAAGCTCGCAAGGTAGGATCTGAATTGTTTTTACCTTCAATCTGTCCAGTGAGTATCAAATTTTCCAAACCCTCTTTCCGCATTATGTGCTCTAGAAATTTCAACTTTCTCTTCTTGATGTAAAGCAGAAGTCTCCTTTTTGTTGCTATTGTCTCTAAAACTTCCTTATTGTTCACATGTTCAGTCCATGGTATTCTAATCCTTTTTTAGAGCCATATTTCAGTTGCTTCAAGTCTCTTCATCTGTGAGGAAATTTTCCATCATTCACTGCCATATAAGAGGACCGATACTACATAATTGTTCAGTACCCTTTTCTTTGTTTCTAAAGATATTTTTCTGTTTCTTAATACTTTGCTTAGCTTTTGAAAGGCATCTTTCGCTATCCCAAATCGCCTTCAGATTTCCATGTCGCACTTTATATCCTCTGTTAATACGCTTCCCAGATATCTAAATTGCTGCATGCGTCTGATTTCTGTATCTCCAATCTGTATGTTGCATGTTGGTCTGACTACCTATTTATCGCTTTCACTATGTTTTAACTGTGTATATATATTTTTTCTTATTAATTTCTTTTAACACTATAGGCCGTGTCCCTTCAGGACGTTATCGATCATGGCTCTCCACAAATTCCTGTCTTTTATAGATCTTAATAACTTTTTTTGCCATCTTCCCCAAACTCTGCCTCACCATACATTTAGATATTACTAGCAGTAGAGCCCGGCGTTGCCCGGGGATGTAACAGTAAGAGATAGATCAAGTATCGACCATCATAAAGACTGAAAAATAAAATTGACAAAGATTATTGTTTAAGGTTGACGGACATGCATGTCTTAATTAGTTTTTTTTTGTTTTTTTTACGAATTGGTCAAACCCAAACTGAAACAAAAACATTGTTTTCAATCGTTATGAGTCTACCGATTGAATAGAATTTTATTATAAACAATTGTCTTGCAAATGGAATTTTTAAAGCATTCTGAATGTAAAAATAAAGAAAAAAGTGTGCAAGACAATAAGAAACACTACCTGCCAAAAAAAGTGAAGTTTTGTTGAAATCGGTTGAAAAATGTAAGAAATCCGATCCCATATATAAAGGAACACACACACACACACACACACACACACACACACACACACACACACACACACACACAAACACAAACAAACAAACAACCTAGGTTTTATAATAAGTATAACTCGATATCTTTATGATGGTCGATACTTGATCTATCTCTTACTGTTACATCCCCGGGCAACGTTGGGCTCTACTGCTAGTACATATATAAAAGGCAGAATGTGTGTGTGTTCGTTTATATGTTTGATCGGATCTCCTACATTTTTCAACCGATTTCAACCAAATTTGACACAGTTACTGCTAATGGTCCTGCAGAGATTTTGACGACGCCAAAATTGATTTAAGTCAATCTTTAAATCAATATTATCGATTTTTCCTTTTTGATCGCACGCACGCGTGTGTAATTATGTGCATTCACTGCACACAAGCAGATATGGGCACTTTTCATGTCAGAATTAATAGCGGTAGCATAATTAGAAAAAAAGTCGGATTTAAGTGCTTATATGGGAATAAGAAAGGACAAGAATGGCCATATTTTGGATTCGGATGCAAAAGTTATCACAATGAAGGATTTCTGTCGCAACCGAACTTTAGTATGTGCGCTCAAGGTCAACCGGCCAACCGCCTCTTTATACCATAACTCGTACGTGTGTTCACACTTCTGCGCTTGCTGTCCCGCACTTGGCTCACTTCATTCGCATCTTACGGAAACCGCAAGTTGTTGATTACGTATCCAAACTATTTTTTTTGCTTCTTAGTTATAACTACATCCGTTTCTGCGTTTATCGAATTTACTTCCCAAATTACCTACCACCGTTTTAGCTATAGTTGAATTTTTTAAACATCACTTTTTTTTTGTCTTCGATCTCCTTTTGATACAGTTACATACATTTTTGGGATCCCTCTAAACTGTCTACGTTTAGACTACACGTATTTTTGCATTCAAAAAACCTACATAACTTTTATTAAGTTTGCATTTTTAAAATTGGTTAAAATGCCGCCTAAGAGAAGAAAAATTGTTGGACGGCGCAGGGCTGCTGCCTCCGCTACAAGAGCAGCAAGGGCAAGTGAAACCACAGAGCAAACTTCGTTGCGCCTTTCTCAGATGGCCTCAGGCTCTGCTGCCCGCATCTCCAGGGAAAGTACCGCTGAACGGACTGAAAGGCTGGCATCAGTAGCATCGGTTATGTCATCACGACACGCTAGACTTTCAACTGAAGAGCGTTTAGTACAGAATTCACAGGACGCAATATGCGTTTCTAGGGCCAAGGCTTCCGAGTCCCCAACACAGACAAACCTTCGGCGTTTAAGGAATGCCAGAGCTATAGCATGTTCTAGAGCTTTAGAAAGCCCTGAACAAACCACTTCGAGTCGTCTTAGGGATTCTAGGGCTACAGTATCTTCCAGGGTTTCGGAACAATCTCTACAAACCGCTATTCGTCGTTTAAGAAATGCCAGCGCTACTGCGTCTGCTAGAACTTTAGAAAGTCCTGTGCTGACCGCTAATTGGCGTTTGAGGAATTCCACATCAACTGCGTCTGCCAGAGCTTCAGAAAGCCCTGGGGTACGGCGAACACGGCTCAACAACAATGGCCAAATCGCAAGGACAGACGCTCAGCGTCGCGGGTCTGCATTTAGGTAAACAGTATTTCGCCCATGGACAGCTTTACGTAGGCTGCTTCCGAGTCGGGAGTAAGGATAACGTTTACGTTTACTCTCCAACAAACAAAGCTAAAAATATTACCTTCGCAGAAGTCCTATAGCCCATGGTCGGTCACGTTTAAACGCAATGTACACATCTTCATGTCAGCTGCATTGTAGGTTCCTTCATTTTTGAACCCGGTTTATTTAAAGGTCGTCGTAGTATCCACTTGCCATTAATAAGACTTTTCATTAAAGGTTGTCTTGCTCACCAGATGCTCCTTTATCACTTAAACCCCACCATAGCTGCATTCGCACTTACATGTTGACCACGTAACCATATTCAGTTGCAACACAAAACCAATTGGTGGAAAGGTGGATTCGTTTGTCAGAGAAGTCGAGTGCATCCATGCAATTCAGGCCTCAGCAAAAAGATAATAAATGAATAGCAGCATGCAGAGTTATAATATGCATTCTCTGCTGTACACCGTTGGTGTGCTTCTCCCCTTACCATAAGGGCTGCTTTAGGTAACGCTACATGCGCTTCATGCTCGCCTCAACTGGCTATTAAAAACTACAAAAAAAATTGTGCCACTTACAAGTACTCTCCCCAGCACCTTCCCATACTTCTGTTATGTGGTTCTGTTTGCAGTAGTGGCAGCACCGTCTTTGGGGCAAAAGACGCGTCTACCTTTCACGCTATTGCGTTTTACTACGTTGCAACTGACACGGGGCTTCATGTAATGTCTTGCACTCAGGGATAATCAAACCATCCCATCGGAATACAAAGCCATCTGCTGCAACTCACCAAAAACTTCCTAAGGCTCGTGTTCGTATTGAACTTGAAAACTTTTAATTGGAGATGTCTTAGTAATGGCAAACGGTTGATGCTACCATGGCTCTCCATTGCTTCCTTTTAAGCCTTACAATTTTTTCTTCCGTTGTGCTGATGAATACCGACAACTTGTGTACATTGTGTTTTTTACGTGGGCGGCCATCAGTTCTACTAGACTTCAGCCTTACATGCCTGTACAAAATGAATATGGTGGTTATGACCTTCCATTCAGAGGAAGTTTACTATCGGGCAACGCCGGGCTTTACTGTTAGTACTACATAAGAGTTTAGTGCTCGTTTCTTTGTTGATAACAATTTTTTTCTGTTTCTTAATACTTTGCTTAGCTTTTGGAAGGCATCTTTAGCTATCCCAATACTTATTCAGATTTCTCTGTTGCACTTTACCTCCTCTATTAATACGCTTCCCAGATATCTAAATTATTACACCTGTTTGATTTTGGTATCTCTAATCTGTAATTTGCATGTTGGTCTGACTATTAATAGCTTTCACTATGTTTTGTCTGTGAATATTTTTTTCTTACTAATTTCTTTTTACACTATTCTTTCCTATGTACATTTGTCGTTTGCTGGAGGGAATTGTATATTTTACTTGATTAGTATCAGTTAAATTCCATTCGTAAAGTGATTACAGTTTATTATATTTTTCATATGTATTCATTCATCCTATTTTAAATAATTATATATTTTTATATATACAGACAAACATCTCATCAACGGACGAATAGAGAGAGGCGACGGTCCGTTAAGGTCGATTGTCCGTATATGAGAAGGGATTATTATTGAGCTATAAAACCACTATAGTAACTATCATTATTCATGATCATAATGTAAATACTATAAACATGCATATATGGCATAAATAAATATATACGGCACTGTATATATACTTTATAAATAATAGATTTCTGACAGCTAATTTCTGACACACGCGCTGATGTATCGTACTTTATATACTGTACACCCGTCTTTGTTTACAATTGAAAGGTCCGCCACCGCCGCCAAGCGGTCACTTTGAGAACCAATGCGACTCTTTCGGCAAATTTTGAAATACATCGCCGACGATTTGGGAGTTTTTTGTTTTTTTCTTGCAAATTTTAAAAAATTTTGCCTGCAGATTTTGTCCGTTGCACCCGAAGTCCGTTGATTGGGGGGAGGTCCGTAGATGAGAGGTCTATCTGGATATATATTTTATTTTATCAAAATTATTATTTTTCATATTATTTGATTTTTTTAGTTTTAGATTTTATTTGTTAATTTTTTTATGGAAAAAACTATTTTTGAAATAAAGAATTTTACAGAAACAGAAATGGACCTTGACAATATTAAAATAATTACAATGTCGCTGGAATCCCAGGAGACAGAAGGTAATACTACTACTACTACTACTACTACTACTACTACTACTACTAATAATAATAATAATAAAAAGGTAACAATGAATACTGTTGATCACACACAAAAATATTAGTAAGTCTTTGAAAAGAATGAATTTTAGAAGAAAAACCGGTTCTGAGCAAAAGTAGAAAAATAAGTTGAAACATGAAAATGACAGCAGCAAGACAACAACAATAATAATAATAATAATAATATTAAGAATAAGAAAAAAAGGTATAAAAATAAGAATAAAATAAGGATAAGAATAGGAATAAGAATATAATAAAATAAGAATAAGAATAGGAATAAGAATAAAATATGAATAAGAATAAGAATAAAATAAGAATAATATCAGAATAAGAATAAGAATAAAATTAGAATACGAATAAAATAAGAATAAGAATAAAATAAAAATGAGAATAACAATAAAATGAGAATAAGAATAGGAATAAGATTAAGAATAAAATAATAATAAGAATAAAATAAGAATAAGAATAAGAATAGGAATGAAACTAGAATACGAATATAATAGAAATAAGAATAAAATAAGAATACGAATAAAATAAGAATGGGAATAAGAATAAGAAT